CACCACCACCACCACCACCACCACCACCACCACCACCACCACCACCATCACCATCACCATCACCATCACCATCACCATCACCACCTACCACCTTACATGTTTGATGAAATCCTTAAAAATGTTTAGGTCTCAGGTCCTATAAATGGCCTTATTAAAAATCAATTAAAAACATCATTTGACAAGCTCACAAAGGGTACCCCTCACAAGGGCCGGTCCCCCATCAATAATCTGCACTACTACCCCTATTAATTTGATCCTGTGTCCATGGCCTTTTCTTTGTGCTTGTTTAAACTTGTTGTGACCTACTATTATTACTACTACCACCACCACCACTACTACTACAACTACTACCACTACCACTACCTACTACCTACTACCTTTGCCTACTACCTACTACCTACTACTTACTACCTACTACCTACTACCTACTACCTACTACCTTTACCTACTACCTACTACCTACTACTTACTACCTACTACCGACGACGACTGCGACTACGATGGCTCCCTGAGCCGATAATTCAGGGGGAGTGGACCTCATGAGTGGTATCTCATGCCTTCTTGACCTTGTTGACCTTCTATGTGGGGGGGGGGCAGATTAATGCGGGGTTGACATTACTACTACTACCACCACCACCAGACTGAATTTATCTCCCCGCCATTTGCGGCTGGTGCCGGTAAAGCGCTCGAACGGAATCATGGCAACTCACTAGCTACCAATGGCTCAAACCGATTTTCTTCGTTCGAATGTGTCAACTCGGTTGATGTTTGGGAAAAGCCCGGCTCCCCAACATTCGAAGCCATCAAAGTATTGAGTTTGGAGAGCTCCTCCAGCAGCTCAGTGTGACAGTTGTTCGAATGTCAATGAGCCACATCAGTGGCATCACCCGGCCCAAACGCGTCATCGCCTACAAATCAATATCTATTCTGAGACTCTCCCCTCGCCCAGAATTCCATGGTCCAAAATCATCCCATAAAAATATTATCTTATCAATTATCTATATCTATCATCACCAATTCTTTAGCCTGAACCATCCCGGGAGCTGTTTTTTGTAAGAAACATAGATTTTAAATAGATTAACTCACCTCATCCTCACCTCCAAATCTTCTTCCCCTCCTCCTCGGCCGGACCGAAGCAGACCTCCTCAGCCCACGCTTCCGCCCAGCCGAGGACAATCGATGGAGACCCCGAGTGCCGCACGCTGCTGGCGCCGGGCGGGACACCGCCACAGGACGCCCCGCTGTAGGTAAATCGATGGGTTCCGGTCATGGGCCCTGAAAAAGATCGAAACCATGTCCATGAATCCTTACCCCCTACTGTACGTTAGGGGTGTTGAATTTTCTTGCTCTTTTGGGGGATGTCCATTCACCACCCCCACAGCTTCGGGGGCCCTGGTATAAACATGTTCGACACCTTCGGCGTCCAACGATCAGAGCGGGAATGGCTTGGAGCCCTGCTTTTGATGAGACACAACATGACAGAACCATATGTTGGGTGATGTTGGGTGGTTGGTGCTTCAAAATCGACTAAGGTTCCAGGAGAGAGGCTAGGGTCAGAGCCTTGGAACATTAAGAAACATCACATGCCATTGCAGTGGAAAAGTGAAGAGTCCATCACCTGGTCGGGGTTTGCTTTCTTTCGTTTGGTCCACTGCGTTGCTACACCGCTACGCACACCGCTACGCCTCCAATCTCCATCCTTATGCCGCACTTCCCCTCGCAGGAGGCCCTTACACGTGTGCGCCAGTTAGTGAGGCAAGAAGCCCGGAAAGACTTTTAGGCGAAGCACTGCCAATTGAGCCCCTCAGATCCAAAGGCGCCGACGGAGCCCGCGGGGAGCTTCTGCGCAGAGCTCGAGGCTCGCAGTTACTGTAAGTAGAAAACTGCCAAGGAAATAGCTCAGGGATGGTCTTGTACCCTGCTTGAACACAGTGGTTTCATTTGGGTTTCATGTGTGTAATTGCTATGGACGTTGTGTTTCTGTGGAACAAAGCGGAGCTGTGCGTGGGCTGCATGGATGCAGTTTTTTTTCCATAAGTGTTTAATTTATTGTTGGCGCCCTAGAGTTTCCAATTTGGAAGCCTAGGGTGGCGAGGGCAAGGCATGATCCACCCATCGACTCATCTGTGTTTTCTTCCATGCAGGTGATCATTCAAATTCCATGGTGAGTTAGGGCTGGGCGGCATGCAGATGGTGAGGGACATTGGGTAGCCTGGTGGCGACTGACTGCCCTCCATACAGAAGTTCCAAAAGTGGTTCCGAATGAGACACCTGAAGACTGGCAACGGGGGTCCGGAGAAGGAGTGCTGCCCTTTAAGTCCTGGGTTTGCTTAAGATTGTCTTGTATTTTCATGGGCAAAATCATGTAAATAATTCCATTCTGTACAATTTTTTTGTTATTTTTCCAGGTTCCTTGAGCAAAATGCAAGATATTGTAATTTATGTGTTTGTACACTCGGCTCCTTGAGCATCTGGCTTAAGCGGAGTATTGGGGATGGCCATGTGTGGGTTTTGGATGGTTTTGGCTGATTTTCCTCACTTGGGTGATAGGCAATGTCGATCAAAATCATCCACCACAAGCACAATCTCACAATCCACCCCTGTCCGAAGAATGTTTGATGGGAGATCATTCTTGAACCCAGACATTGTGGGGTTATATAGATTGCTGGCGCGGAAGCCTGCGTGTATTGGGCTGACTTCCTCGCGCCCGCCTGCGGGCTGGTTCGGCAAAGTGACTGGGCACCTGGGAAGGATCATGACCGACCATGTCTGATGATGGAATGCTACAGTCAGTCAGTGGGAGAAACCTGGAAAACCGCCGACCCTTTGAGATCTTTGAGGGGATAAGTTTCCCCAATCAAATGGAAGAGACAAGGTTACACACCCGGGAAGAGACCCACATGGAACCTGAAAATGGACCTGTGGAAGAGTATTCTCCTCTACAACCCAGTGGTTTTCAGGTTCCATGTTAATCTTCAAGGGTGTAACTTGTGTAACCTCTTTTGTTCTTCCAGGCCACATCCGAGGGGGTCCGGAGTCCAGCACCCCGGGCCTACAGAACCCCCTGCCTCGTGAGTCGAAATTGCCTCGTCAACGGCGACGCCGCGGCCGCGACACGCCATGTTCATCACATGGCCATTTAATGCTATTATGGCGTGGCATGGAGAGTGAGTGGGGACTGCGGACCCTCCAGCAGAAAGACTTTTAAAGACATGCCCAATGCGTTAGACTGTGAGGGACTTCCGAACTTTCGGCAGTATGGCATGGTCACTGATGTTCGATCTAAACATGAAACACTCTAATATCCCTCAGCAAAAGACCTGAGGTTAAACAAAAGACCTGTGAATGTGGTTTATGTATCACTATCACTATCCGATCCAAGGGGTTGAACTGAGAAGAGGGGAAGTGCCATCTACTCTGAAGCTCGTTCATGCGCTGTGCACGCCGTGATTTGAGACGTTCAAAAGGAGGACATGATGAAGCTCAAAGGCTAGGAAGTTACCCAGCAAAGCTGCTCCAGCAAGGTTGCATCCAATGATTCAACATCATTGAACTCCTTTACCTTTGCCTGGTGCGGTTGGAACCTGGCAGTGCCCTTCCTTGACGGAGCTTTTTCGGATCCTCCCTAGGACAACTGCTCGAAGGGAGCAGAGTTTAGAGTCTAGAGTTGCAGTGTGTTACATTCTCGGAGATTTGGCACGAATGTGGACCATGTTGGGAGATTTCCCGTATAGATACCTTTGTTGAGTTGTAAGGTCAAGCAAGCCTGCGTTTGTCTCAAAGCTTGTAAAGGTTGACATGTTGTACTGTGTGCGACCAGCATTCCCCGTCCAAGAAGCATTCAACAAGACATCCAATCAAATATGTTTGCCCAGCTTCTTCAAAGTGACCTTTTGAAGGTTCCTAAGTGACCCTTAGGAGGCTCAAGTGACCTCAAACCAGGTTATCAAGTACGGTCACTTTGAAGAACCAGGGCTATATATATATATTTATCACAGGATCGGCCTGCTCGGTTAGCACTGGCCCTCGCCGCCGTCGGAAGGGCCCTCCTTTCGGATCTTTCCAGGGATTCCTTGGTACCGATGCATCTGACGTGCACAATCGAAGACTGCGTAGTGAACCTTTGTGCTGACCAGATCCGTAAAATTCTTCGTGTTTTCCCCAAGGCCGCCAACGGGCAAGAATACATGAACTGATCATGGTGGCAGATGATGCGAAAGGAACTTCGACTGAGAACTGTCCGAGAGCCATTTACTGTAGACGCTGCAGTCATCCAACGGCAGAAACGGTGCAGCGAGGCTTGGAGAGCCCAGCACAGACTGAGAGAGACGCTTATAGCAGAAAGAGGTTGAGCGCTTTTAGACGCTTCGCACCTGGCGCACCTGAAATCAATGGTATCCAAATCGAGTCCCACACTTGAGTTCACTAAGAGTCTTTTCGATTGGTTCGTTGGTGACACCCCTAGTGCTGGTAGGCACACCAAGGCATTTGCGACGTGTTGCACTAATTGGGAGTATGATGGAGTATGGGACTCTTCCAAGATTGCATGAGTAGTGCCCCCATACTTGCAATCTAGGAGGCATTTCTCATCAAAAAAAAACATCTCCGCCTTTCTTCAACAAGGAGAGCCCCCTCTGAGAGTTCCCATGTCGACGGGAGTTCCCAACTGGAGCACTTCGTCCCGGGCATCGCGATACGCCCCAGAGACTGCGACGCCCTGTGAGTTCGGACCCGGAAAAGCCGAGGAACATGGTGGATGAAAGGTCCATGTTCAGCTTCGCAGTGGCATTGATTTGTTACTAAACCATACTAAACTTACCCAAATACCCTTTGTCTACTATGTGGGGGCCCTAACATTCTATGTGGGGGCCCTATTTTGTCACATTCAAGACTAATTACTGTTGTTTAGTAGGTGGTTATGCCACAGTATCTCGTTCAGAGTGTCTTCAGTATCTCAGTATCTCGTTTATGTTGGGGCCCGATCTTCACCAGCGAATACCGATGTTGGACCAAGCAAATAGAGCATGCAGTTAACTCTACTTGAGTCAAGACCAGTTTGCTCATGTGGGCCCCGGATCCTGACCTTCCCAATGGTACGGACCTGCCAGTCCGCTGTGTGGGAATCGAGAACATCCTCCCAGGTTGCTCAACAAGCAGCAGGAAATTCGCTCCTTACGACAGGAAGTGGCGCAGTTGGGGGCCTACAGGAACTGTCGCAGTTCGGGAGGTCGAATGGGTCTTTCAGAATGGAGATGATGACAGGATTCGGCTCTGTACTCTGTGAATCGGAATGATCAAGAGGGGAGCTATGCCCAGGATCAACCGTACTTCAGATTGATTGGTAGACGATTTGCCTTTGGTTTGGCCCTTCTCACGTTAGAACTAGCAGGACCATGTTTCTGAGGTTCGACTGTGTATGCGGCCGTTTTCCCCACTGGTGACAGATAAATGGAGGGTGGCCGGAAAAACGATGGACTGGGATGAAAGCGTCAACCAACTGGCGGAGTCTAAAATCTAACTGTGGCAATCACAACCTCTCCAACATTTCCACATTGCACCACTAATGTCCAGAAACGTTGCTTCTGGTTACTCAGAGTCGTTGTCTTTAAAAGAGGTGCTCAATGCATCCTTCCTCGATGATTTGCATTCATTGGTTAGGGGACCCCCCCATTCTTGGACTCCTGAGCCCCGTGACCGAGAGATCACTCAGATGGTGCAAATGTGGATGGAAAACGAGGAAAAAAACCACGAGTCAAACCATCTGAGATCAACCATGCACGAGTCAAACTCATGAAACCATGAAACCATCTGAGCACTTCGTGAAACCATCTGAGTTCAACCTTCGGTGCAGATCGGATGCCCAGACCTCCGGCTCCCGCACGCGCCCACCCAGGCTCAAGAAGGCCCTGGAGACGGCACCGTCCACCCGGCAGAACCCGTTGAGACGGAATCCCGTCGGGACAGCGGCGTCGGGACAGACGGTCAACCGATGATCCTGTGGTGCGGCATTCGGAAGATCCTGGTGACTGCTAAGCAGTTTTCTCATCGCATGTAGTCTACAAACTCACGTCAAGCTCAGCTTCCTCACAGAGACTCATTGTCCGGTGCCCGGTGTCCGACTGGTCCCTCCATTGGGTTGCTGTCCCTAGGGATCCAGTCGTACCTTCTCAGGTACGTGATTGGAGACCCTGGTATGTAGGTGCCAGGAGGGTCTGGTCGTACCAAACCTGAGGTTCGGTACGACCCTACGGTTTGAGGGGTCCATTGGTCCATGTAGATTTAACATGGATTTAACAATATTTAACCAAAATCCGATGGCAGTGTTTGGCGGTCGTGTGGAGGGCTTATGAGGGGTTGGAGATCATGACTTGGAGATCGGAACGCCGATGTTGGATGTTTCAACCAGACCGGGTGGGTTTCTGCTTGACCGGTTGCAGCTCGGAGGCCTGGTCTTAAGGGAAGCCGATCCTCGGAACCTGCCGCAGAGGGCAGGGCTCTTTGTTGCAGAACTCAGGTGCTTATTGCGATCGCAGACGTCAGGTGTCTCCAACCATCCACCATTTTCCACCCTATCTATTTGGGGGACCCTGATAGTGATCCCCAAATAGATAGAACAGGATGTATTGGAACGTTGGAAACTGTTTCTATCTATTTGGAGACCACGAAAAAATCACCTGAGCCCTCGGAAGTGATCAGAATGACGGGTGCTGTTGCTAGCTGTTGGTGCAGGTAGGGATGGAACAGGGCCCCAATTGCCCTACAATTCCGAGCAGTGTGTGACACGTACCAAGAGAGGTTGAGAGACCAGAACTGGGACAGTGGTACATATGGGATGGGCTATAGGCTATAGGGCTGTTCAACCTCT